TCAAAATAAGTGGTTGCTTATTATACTTAGATCACCGTTAATGAACATAAAGTTGACCAATAGTTGACTTTTAGATTTTTGAATATATACCTTCCTAAACATGTTTATCATTGTTAATTTAACTTGTGTTCTTCCAAGTTGCGCAAGTTTAGAACCAGCATTCATCAGTTTCTTGGTCAGGTTTTAAAATTGCATCTCTTATATTATTCATATTTTTTAATTAAGTATAAGAATCAATATTTTGGGAGAAAAAAAACTCTTATGAAAAATTCTTAAATTGTCCTAGTATTCTCATGTTTCAGGAATAATGATTTGCTGCAATTTTGATTTTCAACAAACTTCTAAAAATTTTTTGAGAGGGCAAGTGTTAATTATTTTTAAAATTCATAATTTTTTAATATAATTTAATATTTGTAGTGCAAATTGAAAATTACCTTATTAGAAGCCGCATGTTACAAGATCATGCAACAACCAAAAGGGAACATGTATAGAACCAGAAAAATCCCAATAATCATGGACTTTTAACAACAAATGAGCGACCTATAATATCTCTTTTAACAGTAAGTCTGACCTTTTAGAAGATTCTGCACAAAGAACTGAAGCACTTTTTGTCCCTTAGGAATATACATAAGGAGCAAATTAACAAATGAAATGCATACGAATTTAGCTATATTCTGTGATCTTTTTTTAAGAAGGATTCATGAATTAAAATCTCCCCAGACTTTCATTAGAATAATCTCTCTTTTTATTTCAATCTCATTTAGGTTGATTGCTTAATATTTTATTTTAATTATTTACAATCAATTGAATGGATCATTTGAATCTTGCAATCGTGTTGATTCTATACAGCACAAAGGAATAAGAAGAATTGAAAATATGTAACATTTCTCTCCCCAGCATGCACTATACAGATCACTTCTTCGATGTCATGTAGAAAGGATTCAAAATATATAAAAACATATAAGGAATTGAACTAGATCACTGCTACAACAAAAAAAACATGCAGATTAGGGTATAACAAAACCAAATACCTCGAACTGAATAATACACTGCTCCTTCGTTGGCCCATTTTCTTCATCATCTGAATCAGATGAGGAATCTGACATATTTCCATCTCAATTAGCATCTTTAACTGTCTTAAAGATTCACAGGGGAGTGTATGAGTGTATTTCGGAAGAACGTGGATCGTCCTAACCGTCGCCCGAAATATCAGGCTATTTGGCAGGAACGACCCTAAACAGTTACCGCGACCGCCGAATTTACCCGAAATATATTAAGCCAGCTTCCGCGAACGACAGCTGCCTCGACCTCGGAAGTCACTGCATTCTCCGACAACTCAACTCATCTCTCTCCGAGCATGGAACAAATCATCGAGTATGATTCCGTGGTTGCTGATGCTCTTTTCGGCTTCCCGGACTCGCCCCCTTTCCTTCCGCCCTTCTCCGACTCCACAATCCTCACTTTCCCGCCCCCGCCGCCATGCGACATCTCCTCCGTCCCTCACAGCAGCCCCAAACGCCACCACAGCGGCTCCGACCTCTACATTCATGACTTTCCACAGCCGCATTTTGATTTTGAAATTCCCGATTATGATCCCACATTGTTTGCCGAGTTTGAGGCTCCGCAGCCGCCCTCAATCGCCATGGTTGCGCCGTTTGCCCAAGGTGTTGTTGGCTTGTCTGCGCAGAGTATGGCTGCGAGGGGAAGACGAAAGCGAATCAGCGAGAAGATGCTGGAGCTGGGCGGGCTTGTCCCCGGCGGGAACAGGAGGAACACCGCC